TTAATGACAGGCATCCGTGTCTAGGATTTGGCAAATGAAATTTTTGGAGACTCTAGATAGCAAAAAATAATTTTCCTCAGACTGCTTGCTCATTATGGATTATTTGCATCACTGCTGTGGCACAGCCTAGTTACTGGCTACCAGCTTTTGGTTTTGATCTGGTATTTGCCAGTTGCTGTCCTGGTAATTTTCAAGAGACTTAATCTATTCCATGGTTGTTTTTTGAAAGCTAAAAGTAAAATGTTAACTAGTCCTTCCAGCTACATATCAGAAATCCTTCTGAGCATAAACTTGGCTGCCTGCCCCACTGAGGAAGAGTAGCTACCGCAATAGCTGAGAAGAGCAAACTGCCTCTCTTCAGAGTAATGTAGTGGATCCCAAGACAAGATGATTATATTCAGGTAGCAAAATGATTTCATTAATATAGGATTACTTTAAGGAGAATGAACGTCCACCTACTTTCACAAGAATAGCGATGTCTTTTTTTTCCTCCAGCTGTTTCTGTTTCGTTCTTAGGTGCTCTACTTGTTCATGAGAACATTTTCTTTTTGTCGTATTTCCATTTCCCCACTGGGGAAGCTTACTTAGACTTGCTGCCAGTATGTACAGGAGAAACTTAATAGCAAGATAGCTGACTGAGTTCAAGCTTATCACTGTTAAGCATACACACATTTTCTGGGCACAGCTGTGGGATCAAACAGCCTCCTCCAGGTCCTCCGTATGTGTGCTTTTCCCTTGTCTCCCCAGTCACTTTGCACATAGCCTTAGAGTCATATTCCAGGAGGATTTAAAAGCGAATTTTGATCCAGGATTTTCAGGATTCTTTGAAGTTAGAGGATGTCCATTTGAAAGCAAACTATTTGAGTATCCTTAGGACTCGAAGTTCAAACAATTTCTGGCTTGGGTATGTTGAAAAGAATGAAAGACATTTAGCATTTTTATTTCATATGCAAAGGCAAGTCCTCCTTTTTTGCAGTCATATGATTTTGCTTATTTTTCCGTTAATGCCGTGTTTTAATATGATGTTTCAGTAGATAGAGAGTCTGTTGTCCTGTATTTAAATCATCCTTCTATTTGCAGTAGAGCAGAATGACAAAAATAAAACTGTGGTCTCACGGTGAATCAGTGGAATTTTCCTGCATTTCTCCCCTGATGCCTCGGCTGACTCCTAGAGAGCCTAAACCCTTTCTGATTTGTGCTTGCAAGAAAGAGGTGGTTTCCCTCCTGCGTTCCTGTATTTTCCCCATATGTAAGTCTCACTGGGGCTTGGTTTTGTTTGCCAAACAAACAGTAGCTACAGCGTTGTGTATCGGGTCATAGTTCATTGGCTTAAATTAAGGTTGCTGCGTGCCTTATTGAGGGGTAGGTTTAAAAAAACCCCACCTCATGACAGCTGATTTCAGTGCATATAATCTGGAGGGAGACGTTCTAGATCGCCTCAGAGACTGCAATTTCAATTTTGTTTGGTTGTTTCTTTTGCAGCCACTAGTTTCTTCTCCCTTTCTCTAATGAGAGAATAGGATTTTTTGTGCTGGCCCTCTTTTCCTTCTCTCTTTTTTGGCAGAGCGAGGCAATTATTGCTTGTTACGTTGAAGAGTGGTGGTTGTTTTTAAAAAAAATTGCGTTGTCCCCAATTACTGCAGTTCTGCATCCTCAGATAAAATACCTATTCTGCAAGGAGTCATAAAGATAGGCTGTAACAGCTCATCCTCCCATCCCCCACTTCTCCTTCAGTTATCAACAGTGCGTCAGTGGAAATTTCCACCCTTTGCTAATGTGAGAGAAAGCACAAAGTTGCAAAGCAGCCTTTTGAGAAAAAAAAAAAAAAACCTATTGCCGTTTTAGGAACACAATGAAAAGCAGCATACAACTTGCGAGCAGAAATGAAAATTAAATTCTAGAGAAGTGGGACTAAAAAGATACAGCACAGGCCACAGCTGGCAATATCGAGTGAATGTCCTTGCAGGCAGATCCCTAAGGGAAGGGGGCACGGAAGTGGCGTTGTATTATCAATTACAATTTCTCCCCAGCCCCCATTTTACTAGTTGCAACTGTGAGAGGATTTGGAAGGGCTCTTCCAAAAGAGAAGATTTAAGCGGCATCTGTTAAATTTACCAATGGCTTTTAATGGCTTTAACAGAAAATACGGCTTTTCTTTTTTACAGGGTGTGCATCCTTGAGAAGCTGCTATGCAGTATTTCTAGTACATTGTCCAAGCTCAAAAATTATTTTTCTCCTGAAAGTTGTAACTGGGTGACTTCTCTTATTTTCTGGAGACCAGAAAACAGTAGACAGTTCACTTTCTCAAGCATCTTAAGCCCAGTCCTGTTCCCTGTTGAAGCCTTTGAGGGTTTGCGTGGAGGACTAAGCAGACCACAGCACTTCCAAAACCTTTCCTAAGGCGAGTTATTCCTGTAACTCTCAATAGCCCTGTTGCAGTTGCGGGAGCAGCACCTTAGCTGATGTGAACTGGCACCGGTCCCTTGGCTTTGGTGACGCTCTGCCACAGCCTGCACCAGCTGGGCATCTGTGCTGGAGGACTAGCTGCTTAAGTACAGGCTGCAGGGAGATTTTTTGCTATCAGACCTTTCACATATGAGAATTCAGTGCTTCAATCTGGTCCTTCTGAAAAAGACTTCAGAGCTGAATTGTGGCTCTTGATGTAGATGCCTGCACGAGAATTTCAGAATTGGGATGTCTAGCTACGGAAAAGCTTCTTTGCAGTGTTTTCCATGTATGAGTCCCACCCCTGTGCAGCAATCCAGCACACACTACTTAAGTCAATTTCTGACCTGACGGCTCTCCTCTGTGTGAAATAATTTTGATGTAACTTAGTATAACTCATTTAGTTGGATGAAAGTTGACTCCGGACATGGTGAGCAGCATGAAGAACGTGTTTTTGTTGTTGATGACCCTGTCTCCTGTATTGTCTGTTCTGACCCCTATTCAGCTTCTGGTCTTGAGGACTTACCATCCAAGATTACCTTTATGAACCTGAACTGTAAGGTGTGACATTCACGCTATATTTGGCTTAGTAAGAACCTGTACCTCTTGTAGAACAAAATCCTGTGCTTAGGTACAGTTTTTAAATCAAACTGGGATGCTTGATCCTGTTTGGGTATAAGTGATTTAGGAGAAGGTTTCTTTGTAAATGTAAGATGACTGCATTTAAGGGATCACAGAATGGTTGAGGTTGGAAGGAGCCTCTGGAGATCATCCAGTCCAACCTCCCTGCTCAAGCAGGGTCCTCTAGAGCATGTTTCCCAAGATCGCGTCCAGGCGGGTTTTGAATATCTCCAGCGAAGGAGACTCCACGACCTCTCTGGGCAACCTGTGCCAGTGCTCTGTCACCCTCACAGTAAAGCAGCTTTTCCTCAGGTTCAGATGGAACTGCCTGTGGTTCAGTTTCTGCCCGTTGCCTCTTGTCCTGTTGCTGAGCACCACGGAGAAGAGTCTGGCCCCATCCTCTTGACACCCTCCCTTCAGATACTTGTACACATGTCATCTTTATGTTATACTGACACTACTATTAAACATGGGGAGGTGCATTGACATGGACTAGGAGGAAAGAGGAGCTTTAGTAAGAGGATGCATAAAGATTAAACAGAAATAGCTAAACAGGAAGCTCTAAAATACTGCTGGTCTTGGAAGCAAGGTGAATGGTTAGTTCTCTTTTAATAGGATTTCTGAGAAACAGTTACAGTGTCTGCAGTTAGTGCCCTACCGAATGCAGACTGACTCATCAAAAAGTTTTCTTGATTACAGTTGTACTGAAAACGCTAGTTCATTCACAGAATTTCAAGGCAGGAGGGATAGACAATGGCATGGCTTACTGATTTTCTACATGACTATAATGGCCGGCAGTTGGCCACCCAGAACTTGCAGGAACAGCAGACATTATGTTGCAAATGAGTTGAAGGTATATCTCGTGTAAAGATATGGGATCTGAATTTGTGTATCTGGGAGTAAGCCAGTGTGTAGTGTATAGTCACGGTCCCTAGTCTGAAATGGGGCGGTTCTATTGCTCATGAACTACGGAAGGCCTTGGCACTTGCTTATGTGTGCTGGAGTTTTGAAAGCCTCTTGTAAAATTAAAATCGAGCTCACGAACAAAGGCATTTATTACGGAAGTAACCTCAGTGACCTCATATTAATGGGGAGCAACACTCTATTTGCTGCATGTAAGCTTTTCGCTTTATAGTTGTCAAAGATAAGTAGGTCGTGGACACTAAGTGCTTACCTGGAGCAGCCCATTTTGCACATGCTGTGCCTGTGTGGAAGCAAGACCTTTTCATTTCTGCCAAGGTCAGCAAGGCAGTATGCTCTTCAAGTGCCAACTGCGTAAGTTGGCATTTCCTGCACGCAGCTTCAGCTCCTGCCCGCAGTTTGAAAATTTAAGCCATGTTCACATTGGAGATGTGCCTAATTTGGGCTAACTCCATCTCCTTGTTTCTTCTGCTCTGTGCCTGTGTGTGTGTGGTGTTTTTTTTTTTTTTTTTAAATACTCATTCAGCTCCGAAGCAGAATCTCAAAGGAAGAAATGTGCCCATATATATATAACTTGAGACGTTTCACAGGGACACCTGTTCCTGGCTCCATCCTCCAAATGTGACGTGGCGAAGTTACCCCCCAAAAGATGCAGTAAATTGAGACAAGGAGAATGCATGTTGTAACTGAAATGAATATGCCACCTAACTTTTTTTTAAACTGTTCAAATCAAGATGTGTAAATGAATGGAGCAGGTAAAAGGAGAGTAAGCTATCTTTTACGACTTTGTGTAAGCAGTGCTGTACAGCAAAGGACGAAGTTCAGGCTTCAGCCGAACTACTCATATTTGAAATCAGAATAATGCAGAGCTTTTCTTCAAAAACAGTTATGATACTAAAGTTTAAGAAATAATGAGAAAGTTTCATTTAAGAAATACCACAGAACAGTGATTTGAATTAAAGTTTTTGCACTGCAGGTCTTTTGTTTTATTGTGTGTATGTTTCTCATTGCAGGTATTTTTTGGTAGACTTTGAGGGCCCACCTTCGATTGTATCGACCATGATGGATCATTTAGGACGTGATATTGATGTAATTAGACGTACTTTCCTAAAGCATCCAGTATCAAAGACAGAAGAATGCAGTGGCATAATCCCAGTCAACTATGAAGATAAACTAATTGCCAAGAAGAAATGAATATTCCAAATAACATGTTCAAAACTTAAAAAAAAAAAAAGATTTTTAGCCTTGCTTTGGGATACTATTGTGATAACTAATATTCATGAAAAATAATCAGTTTTAGCCATGTGATGTGTGTGGTATAGTACATGATCTTAAGTTATTTTAACATTTGGAGTTTTTTGTTTAAAATAATTTGAATAGACTTTATCTGCATGCTTATCTTGATATTTGACGACTCTGGAAATTGATTTTGTTTTTTTCTTAAAGCATTACATCGATAATGAAGATTTATCCATCATCAGAAGGCTAAAAATAGCCGCCTTTCCCAAAGAAAGCTTACTTCAGAATATGTATATTTACATAAGAGATTAAAAAGTCTGCAGTGTAAATATAGCAGTATAATATGTGATTTGTTTAAGGATTTTTTTGCCTTTTTTGAAAAAGATAATAAAAGTGTGATCAAAAATAAAACTTGACTCATTTTTAAGACCAGAAAAAGTACAAGAAAAAAGTAACTTACACTGCGAAAAGACCTGTCAAACTTCTTTTTTTAGGGTAATCACAGAACCCTGGTGAAAGTAGAGGTAAAAATTATTCTCTCTAGAAAAGGCTAAAAACTTCCCGGTGGCAGATTAGAGAGTAACCATCCTTCTAGATGAACAGAAGAATAAAAGTTATTTTATTTTACCATGAGCTAGACCCAGGTGGACACTTTTGACCGAGAAAAATGTCAGGAAAAAGGTCTTACAGATATTTTTGCCTTTCTTTTGCTCTTGTAACAACAGAAGACACAAGAGTGCATGAATGATATTTTGTTATTGATGATAATTATGTTATTAATGACCTCCTGTGGGTCTGACATAAATTCAACTGTGTCGAGAGGATTTCCATGTTTTTCCCATGTCACTGAAAGAATGTGCCTGTCATCTGTCCTACGAGAGCATGTGTGTGTAGTCATTTTTGGAGAAAAATAGGTTGATATTGATCTGTTATTATACAAAGAGGATAGTCTTTACCTGAATGAGCTTCATCTGGAAATCTCCTTCTCTGGCACTCCGGCCTTATCAGTAGCCGCAGGAAGGACAAGTCTCGAAACCAACCTCAGATTCCCAAAGAGCTTTGACAGGTCTCCTTGGCGTGACTACTCTCTAGCGTGCCGTTTGATGATGAGTTTGTCTGCTGTGTTTCTTGGAGGTAGGTGGGTCTTTTTTTCAAGGGTGCTGCCTTTTTTTGTTAGATACAGAAACTTGATGGGACAAAACAAAACAAGCTTTTCCTCTAGGTTTCTTCTTTTCCTAAAGGAAATAGCTTATGTAGAAAAGTGAGAGAGGAAATTTTCTTTTTCCCTGTCTTTATTCAGGAGACATGAGTGTGTGTTTGTGCGTGTGGTTTTTTGTTTTTTGTTTTTTTTAACTTTTTCTGCTTTTAAATCTGCTTTTCTTTTAAGAGGAGGACTGTCACATTTTGTCCCTTTGTTTCTGGAAGAGCTGGGAGACAACTAGGGAGAATGGACTATGTGCTTACTGAAGCCAGATCTACATTAGGTACTTTTTGTAGTTACTGCCAGTTCTGTTTATTTGATTGGTGTGTGCACTAGTGCCAGCTCCAGGCAGAGTTTTTCTTGCCCACGATGTTTGCTTGTAGGACAGACCTTCCTTGCGTACAGGTGTGAGCTCAGCCAGGAGGAGCTGTAGGTTTTTAGGTCTGTGTCATGGGGTTGGATTCCTGAGCTGCCCTTTCTAATGGGCTGCTGAAAACTCAGATTTACAGTGCAGAAGGCATGAGCTTACAAATAGGGAAGGGTGGGAATGCTTTAATGAATGTATTTTTACTCAAAAGTTTCTCAGAAGCTTTTCTTAAATAGAATGTGAACAAAAAGCCTGTAGTTTAAAGTGCTCACCAAAAATCTCATCTTCTTTCAGGGTTTCAGGCTCTTGTGATACCGTGCTTCAGCAGTTTTTGTCACCCACACATTCACACAACAAAGACAAACCATTGATGTTCCTTATGTAAAAGAAGGCAGATTCTCCTTTGTATCACCACCTGTGCAAGCTATTCAGCTTTTTTTTTTTTTTTTTTTAGCTTAGGAGACCAAAAAGGGTACACATTTTGTTATTCTAATATTTTATCCTTCAAAAAAATTATCATCAAATGTCACTTAAAACACTTTGCTTCTGGGTAGGACTTTGGGCACTGCATTTCATTTGAATAGAAAGGAGAATATTATAAGCTTTGAACTTTAGAAAATGAAGGTGTCAGCAGAGGATATAAACATATAAATGTATGTTCATCTTTATTCAATTCCCTTTTCTAGAATATAGGGTAGTAATAAATCTTGCATTTAGTGTGTTCTAATTTCTAGCTTGAGGCCTGCATTCAGTAAGAAAACCCTAGGTGCTCATTAGGGATGGACTTAATGTTAAATATATGACATTATTTTTTTGCAAATTAGGACCTCAGGTCAGTCGGACTTTCATGCCTCTCACTTCTGTGGGGCCCCTTTTTGATCTCGACAGAAGATCATGGATTTCAAGAGCAAGACTTGGACTCCTGAGCCCAATTCATCCAAAGAGCGACTCTGCTGTAGTGAATCTCTTGCAGCGTCACTTTGTCCCAAAGAAACATAGTGCCAGCTCTGAGAGAAAGCCGGCCCCAAGAGGCTGCAGAACAAGGCATAAGGAGATGGTGCCCATCCTGTTTTCATGTATTCTGAAGTATTGAACATACAAAGAGGGATGATTAAAAATCTTCTTTGCCTTTGGGATAGAAATACTGACCACTGAAACCAATGGCCACAAGCAAAGAAACATTTGGAGGACTTGTGCACGGTTACATAAGCATTCATACTTTCTCAGCAGCAGGATTTATTTATAAAAGGTCTGCTGAATAGCTGGCTCACAACTGTATGTACTATTTTCTTCATAATTGATAGTTTCTAACATGAACATAATTTTTTTTTTTAATAGGGGGTAGGGTTGGGGGGGGGGATAAGAGAGGAGTCTTGGGTTACAATTTGTTTAGCCCAGTCAGCCAACCAGACCAGTAGTTAGCTATTTCAGGAAACTAATATATAACGGTATGCACATTCTCTTTCAAAAACTATAAACTTTGGAATGGGCACTGAATTATATCGGAAGGTTTGAGCAATTCTGGTTTTGAGCAAACAGTCTGAGTTGTGCCATAGAAGAAACCTAGCTAGTAAGTATGCCCTGAATGGTCTTAGATGCTCCCTATGGAGAAAGGGGAAATTCTTGTTTTGAGATCTGTTTGGGATCCAGCTTGCTGTTTTGATAGCTGACAGTTGATTTATCAAATAGCTAAAATGTCAGACTCCATTGGCATTTTTAAAACCCTAAATAATTTCAATACCTGTACTTTAAGATACTGAAGATACTTTAAGATACTGTTTAGAAGCTGATAGTGAAGCTCTTCTACTTTTCCTTAGATTATATTCCCAAGCATGCAAGAGAAGTATTACATATTTTATACTCCTAAACACTCCACTTTGTTTTACTTGCCTGAGGATTATGGAGATGCTCTGACTAGGGTAAGTATTAAAATAATAGTTGGCAGTTCCCCTTGGTCAGGATTATTTTCTGTTCTCTGTCTTAACTTCAGGAAGCACATGAGCGCAGTGTTTTTACGGTGAAGATCTTAGGTATGCCTGCAGTTGCTCCTTTTTCTTCCTCTCTCACACTCGACTGAATCTTGCACTCTGGGGGTTTCTTCATTAGGCTGAGGGCACTGCACTGTCGAAGCAGTTACCACTCTGCCAAGCACTTGATGCAGCCGCTGATGTGACCCATGGAAGTTTCTGCATGCAGTGGTTTGGTCCCACGGAGCCAGAGTCTGTGCATCTTGGGTACCTCTGAATAGTCTGTCAAAATCCCATTTGTTGATAGTATGAGCTTAAAGAACTTCAAGATCCTCAGTGTCAGCAGAATATTTCTAGCACTGTAAATGTTTTAATGGAACTGTCCGTAGACCATCTTTCAACTTGACTTTTGCTTAGGAGCAAAGTGTTGGAGCTGTAGGCTGAGCTGGGTGCGACAAACACACAGAGCTGCACACCTTTTGTATGGCTTTGAAAATCTTCCACAGAATTACTAGAATGGTAACAGTTGTAAAGACTCGCGGTCTTTTACTGTTGAAACTAGGTTTTGATCACCGAGACCAGTCATCTGCCACTTAATGAGATCTGTTTCTGTTTAGTAAGTTGCTACTCTGTTGAGAACAAGACTTCAAAACTTAACGCAATCCTTCTAGAGTACTGTGTCGTAGAAATTTTCCCGAGACTTTATGCTTGTTCACGTTTTCTCAGAGTGGCTCTTAGGCTTCGTTCCACGTTGCCAGTATCGCCAGCATCGCCAGCATAAACATTCAAGAATCATGAGGCAAGCCCCCCAGATGCTTTGAACTCGAGGAGTATAATCATTGGCTTAAAAATTACAAGTACTCCTCAAAATGTGAGGTTCTTTTTATTGGCCTTTTAGATTTTTGAGCTTTTATGATTCACTTTTTTTCAAACTTTGTTGCTGTCATGATTTTCATATAGCATCTGGTTGAAGAGCCTTCAGAAAAATACAGCTATAGCAAATGAGATTCCTCATAAATTCGTTAGGACTGGTGCTATATCCCTACACCCACTGAAATAGAATAGGGGAAATTAAAAAGGGAGTTGTTATTTTGTCCTTCCTAGAATTTTGAAGCTCAGATGCCGTAACAGAGAGAGTTGATGTGAAGCCAAAACACGCATTTTCCCAACTGCTGCACGAAGGGAAGACTGAAAACGTGTTATTCTCTGTGACCTCTGTAACGTGTCGATTTCTTAGTGTTGCTTCCACAGACCTTTAAAAACATGCAGGCTGCAGCTGGTGGACTACCTTAGGCTAATGCCTTAGGCTCGTCTTTGAAAAGCTATTTGTGCATCACTGCGGAGGAGTGGGAGAGTCACCACTTACTGAATGCTGGTTGAGAGGGGGAGTGATGCACTGACAGATTCCAGTTTTGGAGTATTCAAGGTTGCTTTCTAAAAGCATTTTCAAGGGGAAGTAATATTCACTGTAAGCCTAGGAGAGTTTTCATTCCTGTTATTTTTGTATTGTGCTTAGGCTGCCAAGTGAACCTTGTTTAGAGAGTGGTAACTTTCACATAGAAAATCTGCCT